TCATGCGCTCATCAATCCGGCTCCATCGCCTCTCAGCCCACTCCATCTGCTTCTCTACATGCGTCGTCGCTTCATCAGCAAGCGCGTGGTCTTCGAAGAGGAACGCGAGTTCTTCTAGGGTGCGCCCATAGGTCTCGGGAAACATGAAGTACTGTGCAGAGGTATCAGTTGATGCATCCCATTGCAAGGATATGTACAAGGCAAAACCCTGCGGAAGTAAAGATGACTTACGATGAAGATGATCTCAAACCCCAGCCAAGCGCAATACATAATCAGCCACTTGCCCTGAACATGTTTCAACCCAATGGGATTAAGTATCGTAGTCGTGAACACCGCTGTCCGGCTAAAGAACTGGAAGATCGTGATCCCCTTCGTGCGTTGCGCGAATGGAAACAATTCCACCAGAAAAGCTGCGACCCTGTTAGCAATCCTTTTCCACATCAAACACGCTCGCTCCGACTCACTGTAGGTCAACGCATTATACCCAATATTATAACACATCTGATACAAAAAGATAATCGCAATCGTCAGCCTCGCAGGTTCAATCCTCTTCGTAGCCGTATATCGCTGCATCGCCACCGTCCACGCAACATAACAACACAACAAACTACTCGCGCAAATGAGATACATTTTCCTGCGCGGAAACCGCCTCACCAATAGCGAGATACAAACCGCATTCACCAAATTCCAGCTATTGAGCCCAACATTCACTTTGCCTACAAAGCCAGGGTCGTCGTACCCGATCATGTTGAGCAGCTGGTTTAGGTAGTAGCTCAGTAGTGTGTTTCCAGACCACTGCGTGAAGAGGCCGAGGAAAGAACCGATTATCACGCGCTTGCGCAGACCAGGGACGGCGATCATTTCGCGCCAGGAGCGTTTGGAATGTTCGAGTTCGATGCGGATGGTGTGTTCGATTTGGGCCATTTCTGCGGCGGCGAAGGGCGAGGTTGTGGCGCCTTCGGCGTGGTAGGTTATCAGTGTGGCGTAAGCTTCTTCGCGGCGGTCTTTGGAGATGAGGAAGCGCGGAGATTCAGGGATCATGCTGGGCAGGTTAGCTTGTTGAGATTTTGGAAGCAGCGGGAATGAGGCGGGTACAAGATGAAGACGATTTGGAGTAGTGATGGGCCGGCTTGGAGCAGCGAAGGTATGCGCCAGGCCCAGTCGTCTTTTAGGCTTTGGGTACCGTATGAGACTCCTGCTGCTATAAGCGAGCCTACGAACCAGAGTGCGTTGAAGAGTGATGTCATAATAGGTCGTTCCTTTGGATATGCAAGCTCGCCCATTAGTGATGAACCTGCGATGATGCAGAAGGGTATGCCGAAACCGAGGATGAAGCGCGCGCCGACGTACATGCCAGCTACAACGTGTGAGTATAAACTCCATCTGATGATTGAAAGTTCAGTCCTACCGTTAATGGAGAAGGCTTGTACTACAGATCCCACAACCATGATCCAAGAGCCTAAGAAGATCGCCCATCGTCGGCCAAATCTATCGTTCACGTACGGCACCAGTGGAAGAGCGCAGATTGCGCCAAGGTTGTATGCCGAAGACATGATACCGAGAAGCGCTCCTTGGGGGTTATTGAAGTCTACGTTGTCAGCAACGGCATGTTGTGGCCGAAACCTCGACTTACAGAGCCGCCATGTTGGCGCGATTTGCACTGCGTTGATCATCTGTGAATCGAATCCAGAAGTCATCTCAATCCCAATACACGTCGGCAGCAAGAGTGCATATAGCCTCCTCAAATTCCGCTTTCTGTACCAAGGTATCTGGTCCTGTTCAACGATGCGCGTCAATATCGGTTCCGCCTGCCTCGCAGCCGCCGCAGCGCCAACAGGCGCCATCTTTGGTATCACACTTCAGACTGCAGCTCCAGCAGAAGTTGAGAGAATGTCACTAGACAGATAAACGAAGCAGTGGCGGCTAGCAGTAATGGGCGTCCGGGGCGTGCGCACATGCCCGTTAGTTCTATATACCCCAGATTTGTGCGGCGCATCATGGCTCGTATCATCAAACTGCATGCAGGTGAGAAAGCGAAACCGGAAGGGCTATGGTAGAGTTGTGCTGGGGTAGGAGTGCATTGACCTTTGCCCCGCACCCGGGCGATGTTGGTGGTCATATACGAGGTCCAGTAACGAATCAAGGATCGTCCCTAAAGTTGTGGTACGCGGATAGAGTAGTACGCCACGCAGATTCGCTTTTGTGTCGCTGTTCGTACGACTGTGGGCATGAAACACACACGCATCTGCGTAATGTTTGTTCGGCGCTATGCGACAAAGAAATCTGTAAGTCGGAGCCAAAAGACGTGTGCATGATACACGATGACATCTCATACTCGATGTAAGTTTCCTCAACCCGAGGAAATGCCAAGAGGGGTAAAGTACCCAGCAAGAACTTGATTAGCGATACCAATTTGACGGCCAGCCTGTTCCAGAATGGTCAGCACGGCACCGCATCCGGAGGACGAACCTTCGGCTCCATGGCATTGGATATGCAAGCAGGATATAATGAGCCGATTGCGGAAGATGGACAACAGTGGGCCGTGCGCGGTATGTCTTATGGTAAGCGATGCGGTGTAAGTAAGCGATGGTGTCTGACGGACTACTCCAGATGTTGCGAATGTGTCGTACACTCAGCGCTGCCTCTGACCGGCTGTTGCACCGACGCAGCGTAGGTGACCGGTGAATAAATGACTGTACTGGAGGATAAAGTTCAGATCGTATGTATTCACGAGAGCTCTTTCGGACACGAACGCCATGTCCAACTCTAAGCGAAGGAAGGCTGCAACTTTCCCGCGATCCTCTCCAAAACGCGCTCTGGCAGTAAGCTTTGATACATGTGATCTGTCCACTCACAACAGACTCGCCGTGTATATGCCGGATCGATGATCTCCTCGATGCCGAACGCATTAGCAGTGCGGACTGGGTTCATCAGTCGTTTGTACTCGTTCTTCAACTCTGTATAGCGCCTGTCTCGCGCTTCTCTTCCTTCTTTCCTCTCAATCTCCTTGAGTTCAAATGAATGTCCAACTTCAATGCCACCCTCGAGTGGTAAGGAGCCCCACACGCCGGACGGCCAAGCGACGCGCATGCGTGGGTCGCGGCAGTCTAGCATGATGCCTCCTGCTACTCCGTAGACGCGTCGCACGATGACGTTGAAGATGGGCATGGTTGTGCTGTAATAGGTCGAGGCGAGAGTGACGCCGTGCCGCATCGTTGCAGTGCGCTCTGCGACAGTTCCTATTGCGTAGCCTGGGACGTCGACGAATTGGACGAGCGGGAGGTTGAATACGTCAAGGAACTTTAGCATGCGTGTAATCTTCTGCGAACCCAATGCATCCAGTGCGCCGGCATTCTGCTCGCAGTTGAGAGAGACTATGCCGACCGGTTTGCCTGCGAAACGCGCAAGGCCTACTATGGCCGTAGTACCCCAAAGGGCTCCAATCTCGAAGAACGAGCCTTGGTCAACAACTTCGGTGATGATGGCGCGCGGGTTGTACATGCGGTTCTTGGAACGCGGTATGATTGATCGGAGGTTTTCTGACATTCGGTCGATTGGATCAGAGCAGTCGATTGCTGGAGGCAGCTTCGTACCGCAGTCGGGCAGGTAGCTCAAAACCGTGCGTATCTGTTCAAAGCAGCCCGCCTCGTCCGGCGCCAGGTTATCGATTGTGCCATTGGTGCAATGCATTGCGGGCCCACCAAGATCTGTAAAGGAAAGACCCTCCTCGAATGTCGCGTTCTTGACAACACTGGGACCAGCGTTGAACAGAGATCCAATATCTGCAGCCATGACCGAGAAGTGGCAGGCCACCACGCGGGCTGCCCCCAGACCAATCGCCGGTCCAACCACAGCGCCCAGATTCGGTATTCCCCCATTGATTTGTTGTACGACTTGTGCAAAGGAGGGTAGCGGAGGGACGTAGGAGAAGCCTGTGGAGCGAATGGTCGTGACGGAGCCGCCGCCAGATGAGCCATCGACGAGTTTGACGATGGGAAGCTTCAACGCGATCGCGAGCTTCTCCATGTATATCTGCAATCGTCAGTACCAGCATGGATGGATGCAATGAATCGAACTCACCGTCTTCTCCATAAGCGCGCCATCAGCGTGTCCAGCGCGTATGGAGAAGTCATCGGCCGTGAAGACAATCTTTCGACCTCGTAATCGTCCGAAGCCTACCCGCCGTCAGTACATCTTCCCAATGCCATCCATGGTACATACCCTGCACGTTGTTCGAAGGCACGTAGTCTTCTGGTTCCTCTTTTACTGGCCCCAACTGCTTCCACTTGACTGTCCCGCTCACGCTGCCCACCTCCTGGAAGCTCCCCGGATCAAGCAGCTGCTCGACTCTTTCGCGCACCCATAGTTTCCCTGCCTGCTTCTGCCTCACGTAGCCCCTATTGTTCTTGTCGGGCGTCGCGGCACTTTTGCGCAGAGTCGCGATCTGCCCAAGGATGTCTGAGTAATCAGCGGGCAGATCTGACTCTGCTCCTTTCCGTCGTCGTCGCTTTGGTGTGTTGGGCGCAATGTGGGAGCTGACCTGCGCGAGTCGGTCCTTGGCGGTTTCGGATGACGTCGACGCGTCTTTGGGCGAGGGCTTTGGGTCGTCGCCAGCCATGATCGTTAATAAAGGGTAATTCAGATTGTTTTTGAGCTCCAGTGATGGAGCGACAACGAAATCGTCACATCTCGATGATGCGGACCAAGATGGGATGGTTGTGGTGGAATGTTGGGGTAGAGCTGGGGAACCGAGGCATCTTCAAGCTCCCCGCGCTTGCCCTCCTCAATCGCACTCCATCAGAACGCGACCATGTCGTTATGGATGAATCGAATGTTCAACGAGCGTCCCGCTTTAACATATAATCCGAATCGCATTCCAGCTCCCAAGAAGGCTCCTTGACGACGGACAACGTGATCCCGCCTTACCTAAACCAACGACTCGTCCACTCGAGTCATTCCACTGATGGTATAGTGGCGTAGGTACCTAGGTATATCCACGAATGTACTGCTTGACCGATCCATACTTCTGGCTGGACTCCAATATGACGCGACCTCCACAAAGACCCATCAAGCGACTTCTTACCGCGAACAGGTTTGTAGTCAAGTAGTATTCTGGAGAGCATGATTAACTGTCTGTAGGGGAGAGATCGCAACACGAATCATCTCTTCAGCTCGAGAACTTGACATTGAGACGTTCGCAATCTACGTATCAGGCGACGACTCGCATGCCGTCCGAGCAAGCCATGCGATCAAACTATCATCAGCTTCATCCTTCATGAGTATTGATGATCTTGTCGGCATCGTCAAAAAGCACCAAATCGATGCTGTACATCCAGGATATGGCTTTCTATCAGAGTCCGAACACTTCTCGAAGAGAGTCTGGGAAGAGACCGGCGCAGTAGTTGTCGGCCCTGGGTGGGGTATCTTGAGTAATACTGGAGATAAGCTTAAAGCGAGAGAGCTTGCTCAACAATGTAAGAGAAAAGGCGCGTTAGAGTTGCATTACTGACACGTAAAACAGGCGACGTCCCAGTATCTCCAGCACTCCAGCAACCCACTAACAAAGTCGAAGACGTCCAACGCTTCGCATATGAAGTCGGGTTCCCAATCATGGTCAAAGCAGTAGATGGAGGTGGCGGCCGAGGCATCCGTCTTATCCGCAGCGAAGACCAGCTTGCCTCTTTAGTGAAAAGAGCAGTCGAAGAAAGCCCGTCCAAGCAAGTCTTTGCTGAAAGAGCTGCGGTCGATGGCTTCCGGCACGTCGAAGTACAGATCATCGGGGACGGTACCGGAAACGTAACGCATCTTTGGGAACGCGAATGCAGCATCCAAAGACGATACCAGAAGATCGTTGAGCTGGCACCAAGCGTTGTGTCCGACCGGAAATTGATTGCACAAGTCATCAAAAATGCTCTGAAAATGGCGAAACATGTAGGTACTGATGCTGATCGCCAATCTCTCACGCTAATATATGCATAGATACAATACTTCTCCCTCGGCACCTTTGAGTTCCTCATGAACCCATCAACGAAAGAATACTACTTCTTGGAGGTCAACCCTCGCTTACAAGTCGAGCACACGATCACGGAGTCTATCTCTATGACTGATATCGTCAAGGCACAGCTATTACTCTCCCAAGGCGCTTCTCTGAATGACTGCGGCCTACCAACAGCCGAACGAGATCCAGAAGTGCCTCCTCCAGCGCATTCAATCCAACTGCGTATCACAGCGGAGAACGTTCAAACTGATTGGTCCTTATCGATCGGCAAGATCACCTCTTTCCAGTTCCCGTCGGGCAACGGCATTCGAGTTGACACACATCTCATCAGCGGCCGACCCGCCGTGGTATCCGCAGATTTCGACAGTCTGATCGCAAAGGTCATTGTAACAGCGTCATCTTGGAAAGACGCCGTTCGTAAAGCCCAGCGAGCGTTGGATGATACGCAGATCGCAGGAGTAAAGACAAACCTCGACATGTTAAAAGCCATAGTCGCGCACCCAGCTTTCCTAAACGGACAATGCGACACCCAATGGCTAGAAAGGAAACAAACCGAGCTCCTCCAATCAAGCCAGAATATCGCTCCAGCCACCCCGAACACCCTTAACTCAGATACTGTACCATCCTCTTCATCCGCCTCAGTCTCAACAGCCAATACCCTCTTCCGAAAAGGCGACGCTTGGTCCATTTCGATCTCCACCCCAACCATGAAGACCAATGAGAAACCACCACCCCACCACCTCGAACTAACCCGTGTCCTGCGCAACGACTTCCCCACCTCGCTCAGCGCAGAACTCCTCTTCACCACGCCTTCAACAGCTTCGTCTACCATGCCCCAAACAACACCCTACACCATAACTCTCTCCTCAACTTCTGCAAGTGCTTCAGCAGCGACGTCGCATCACAGACGCGGGAACCCATCTGACCCCTCGCATATTAGCATTCCCTTCCCAGGTAAGCTTGTGGAAGTGCTGGTTGACGAGGGTGACGTGGTGAAAGAAGGAGATGTAATCTGCGTGGTTCAGCAAATGAAGATGGAACTAGAAGTACGCAGTCCACGGAGTGGGCGGGTGACTTGGGTCACGGAAGCGGAGGATGGGGAAGATGTGGCTGAGGGGGTGTTGGCTGCTATCGTTGAAAGCTCTCAAGAAACGCGTCTTTGAAATCATGGTTCATTCGTTAATTCTTTACATCATCTACATTCCCTTCCACGCCGTAATCCGAAATCACGACCTCTTTACATAGTCTCACACCGGACAGTCGTATAAACATTATCCTTCGTCGCCCGACTATACGGGCAAACCTGCCTCGCCTTGTACACAACCTTCTCCAGATCCTCCTTCGCCAATCCGCGTACCTTTACGAGGAGCTGGACGCGCAGACCCATGTCTAGGTCTTTCATGCTGCCGACGAGTTCGACGGTGGATTCGACGATCGAGTCTTCGGGGGTGGAGGGCATTTTGACGCCGAGGGAGGGGGCGACGGCGTTCATGGCGGATTGGACTAGTGGGGTTAGTTGGAGGTGTTTTGGAGGACTGGTGTATGATGGGGAGGGGATGGGGACGTACAGCATGCGCCGTAGCCGGCTGCGAAGAGCTCTTCTGGGTTGGTCTTTCCGGCGTCGCCGGGGCCGCCGAGGGCTTTGGCCATTGTTAGGTCGACCTTCAGGTTCTCGCCGTCTACATGTCTGGAGATGTGTCAGTTTGTTTCCTTGCGTGTTCAATGGAATAATTCATCGTACCCTGTGCGTGCACCAACTACGTGCGCCTTTGCCGAGTAAAGCTTCGGTGCTGTCTCGGTGTTCAAGAAGCGACGGCAAGGTACCGCAATGCCATTCCGCTGCGAGACGCGGACTGCATTGCGGAGGATTGGTGTGAAGGTCCTGCTAGCCATTGTGTATGAAGTGAGGTCTGTGTGAGGGTGATGTACGAATTGAGTTCGTGGGTATGCAAGAATGAGGTTTCAAACGACCAGGGCTGGAATGTGCGGTTCACCCAAGCTCTAGCAAAAGAACTCTGGAGCTATGACAGCTGTGACGTCCACGCGACGATCTCGCGGCGTTCAAAGTCATGACGTTTGCATCCAGCCAGCTTGGTGGATTCTAGCGCAAGGCACTCCCGCCGCTAGTGAAGCGAGATCTGGGGAGATCGTGGATCGTTTTGAGCAGCAAAAAGGTGACGATTTGCACATATGCTGTTGGATATGTGGGAGCGTAGAGAAACGACTCATAACCGTATTGTAATGGATTAGAGATCGAACGCTACCAGCTGTACCATATCGAAGGATATAATGCTTCGATACGTTGTGAGGATGGACACTTTCTCTGGCTAAGCTTTAGAGATTCCTGCTATTTACGCTCAAGCCCGAGAACTCTTTCCTATTTCCTCGCCCGCAACGCAGCTAAGTATCGGTGTTCTCGCAGTGGCGATGAGCTAATCGTGTAGAACGCTCGCATTTCCTGTATGCTTGCCTTTGTCATGCTGCGACGACATGGTTTCTGAAGTACGAGGTGACGGTGTGGTTGCTGTAAGGGTAGGCTCATCTTCCGGGGCGTCCAGAGTTATCGCGCCAGCTCTCGAGCTATGTCCTTCTTGAACGACCGCAGAGAGACTAGGTACGGGTCCGTTCTGTGTAGAATTAGGCTGGTGCACAGAACCTTCCGGAGCTATAGAGTCGGTTCTTGAGCTCTCTGCTGCTTGTACGGCTTCAGATATGCTGGTTGTTGGTATACCCGGTGCAGAAATGGGTCGGTGTTCGGGTTCGCCTGGGGTTTCAGCGTTGTCTCGCGGACTTTCATCTGCTTCCGCTTTTCCAGAGGTGTTGCGTTTTGATTCTTCTCGTTGCAGACGCTCATCTTGAGTGCCGGGAATACTCGGTGAAGAAGAGTCGAGATCCTGATCGGTTGTAATAGTAGGCTCATCTGGATCTGGTGGATTCTTCCATACTGTGCATCGCGCAAGCGATGAAAAGACCAAAACTTTCGCATCTATCTCGCTGCTCACCAGCCCAGATCCGATAAGATGCCTCACAACCTTATCAGTATCTATGACCTTGTCACTCATGTTCCGTTCCGCATACCAATGCCTGCGTTCTTCATGATACTTCAGATTCATACCTCGCCACAGTGCATCCATGAAGCCTGTAAGCAACTCAAAAGCGCCGTAATCTGCTGGCACGCCCACCTGCACAGCGATGTAGCCTTGAAAAAACTTATCACTTGCCGCGACAGGTCGATTGGACCCTTGCATGCTCTCAATACTTAGCCCAGCACAGGGACTTCTCAACGTGTCGTCCCACTCCTGAACCTGATTATGTCCGGTTCGTGGAACCTTCATCCCACCTTTGGTGCGATAAATATAAGAAACTTTTGCGTCGATCATCTTCTCGAGGAATTCTTTCTTCCTTGTCCAATCTTCCACAGAAAAGACTTTCGCCACACATAATACTCTAGACCGGGGAAACTCCTCAAAGCTCCACAGTGCTAGCAGAGCACGCAATGTTTTTGCTTTGATCCTTCCATCCCATGCCTCGAGCCTCAGACGGGCGTATTGTGGCTCAGAGTCGTTGTGTCTACACACAACTACGTGCTCCCACTTTACGAATTCGCTCGAAGGATGCCAGTCTCCAAATTGATGTATTCGCCTCATGGCGTGCTGAAGCTGCTTGGTACGGGCAATAAGATCACGATCAATTTCAGAAAACAAAGATTGCAGCTTTTCCCGTAGTACAATCCTAGGATCCTCGATGGTTATCAGATCCGCGATAGGCGTACTATCTAGGCCAACTGGTAAGTCATATGGCAGAAAACTCCAGTCCTCATGATCTTCCGCTGACCAGGGCTCACCCTTGGTGGGCCATAATCCTCGGCAACGAGTTCCCAGGGACAGCGCAATCCAATTTGGATCGGGGTCGTCAGGTAACTGAAAGGTTATAGGCTGATTGGATATCCCCCGCCGAATCCAAGCCCGTATGCAAGTCATCAAAAGTGTAATGCCAAGCTGAATGACTGTCGCGGACCAGTGCAGTGCTCTCAAGCCGACGAATTGGCAGACGAATCCAGCCAGACAGGAAAGGACAGCGATGATGACCATCAGTCTCTGAGTCTCAGCTTTTCCTGAACCGTGTGAAAGGTTTTGGTTCATCTCTTCTGGATCGTATCTTGAAGTGCGAATTTTCAGATCCTCAGGGTGGTTCAGGATGACATACGCTCTGAAGGGCTGGTCACCCATATTTTGTTGCAGTTGCAACCGGAAAATCTTCTTCACTTCGTATTTTTCCGTGGGAATGAAAACTTGCTCAACAGTTGTTGCTTCGATGATATATGAGCATAGTGCCATACTGACGACAAGTAAGCACGTCCCTAGAAGGAAAGTTGGATACGCGTAATCTTCGACAGCCTTTGTATTTTTCGGTTTCCCCCAGTAATAAGTCATAAGTGCAGGTATTGCTACAGCAACGAATTGCAAAGCAATCCCTACCATTGCAAATGCCCATAATTCTCCGCTCCCTGGAAGGGCACCGTGAACGTTGAGTGTGAGATTTGGTGGCTGATAGGTAAGCCTTTTAGCGAGCATTTCGTTGTCCGTCTCTGAATCGCCTTGTGCGTCAGATATGAGGACTCCTCTTTTGTACACGTCACTCAGATCGCCGATGTAATTTTGACTAGGATCTTCAAGTCCAATTTCAGCCTGATTTGAGATCGGCTTGCATTTATAGACGACCATCTCGAGGATCTTAGCATGACCCGCTTGACGCACGACTCCTTCCTCCGTCCAAAGCTCTGAAGTGGCATCTGAAGTCGATGAGAGCAGCTCCAGCTCCGCTGTCGCGATCTTCTCTCGCGCACTATCAATGTTAGCAACTTCATTAACCTGGAATGAAAATCACTTACCGGCCGATGATAGCCTTCAAAACTCTGACGTTTGAGACTCGAATCGCGGAAACTACCGTGGTGATTATTCCCAGCGGACCGACAGCGAGAAGTATATGATCGGCCCAGCCAAGCGACATGCTGAGAAACTGTTTCGTGACTTGCTCTCCGAAAAGCGTCAAGAGAGGCGCCAAATCGCTGCCGAGATTGTTGATGAAGTCTTCGCCATTGAAGCCGTCTGAGGGGGTAGGCGTGGTGATGATCGGTATTGCCGTTGGCGTGCCGCTGCTGGTCGGGGTAGTCGCGGTCGGCGCCATGACTTGGACAACAACGAAGGAGGAAGTGACGAAGGACAGCGGGAGTATGACAGAGCCGCGCGGGGACTCGATTTGAAGGCAGGCAAATACGGCTGAGCTATTGCGCAGGCCAAAAATGCCGCAAGGCTGAGCACAGGAATCCCAGCAACGACGCTGGCGACGCGGTTTGACTGACGGCAATGCGCCTGAGAAGCCTGGAACGTTATACCCTCAGTTGGCGTTGCCTCGGAGAGACCCTGGGAGTGTTCCGGTATTGTCTTGGGGATGTCAAAGGAACATTGGTTGAGAGAAGGCAGGACGAAAGAAAGTTGCGGGGCTCAAGCTGGGAGGTCATCAACATCAGCTATGCCTGAAGCGAAGGTGCATGAGGCAGATTGATAACTGAACGAATGAGACACCAAGCCACGTCTGACAGCAGGCGCCTACCGCTACACTCGGGCGAGGAAGGAGCAGATGGAACGGACTTCCAATTCTGACCAACTGGGGGATGTGTTATCTGTCAGAAGCCAATAGGCTATTTCGGTACAATAGAGGCGTGTCTTTTTTGGCATGCGCTTACCTCGTGCCGATGCGATTGTGATTACTTATGGTTGTGCTTCGGTTAGCAGAGGCCTGTCAGCAGGGTTTCAATCGTCGCAGCTTTGCATGCCATCGTCTCGAAGATGATTGATTCAATAGTCTATGGTCTTTTTGATCGCATCGTAAACCCCTGTCAATGTCAGCAAAAGAGAGCGCCCGCATGTCAGTACATCGCAACTTACTAGTAACATCCGGAATAACGAATTGCTCGAACATGAGCCCGGTATGTGTCGCCCACCCCGTCACTCTCTTCACAGGCGCCTCTAACCGAAGGAAAGCCTTCTCCTGAATCGTAGCAGCGACCTCAGCACCAACACCAGCATTCATCATACTCTCATGTACTACAATCGCCCGTCCAGTCTTCTTCACGCTTTCTAGAACCGTCTCTCGGTCCCAGGGGTATATCGTCCGCAGATCTATCAGCTCAACGCTGCAACCGAAGTCCTTCTCTGCTGCTGCTATCGCGGCTGAGCATGTGTATAGCGGTGTGCCGTACGAAACGATCGTGACGTCCTTGCCAGTCTTGAGGACTTCAGCCTTGTCGAGCGGAAGGTAGAACGCGTCAACGGGTACGTGCTCGACAGCAGCGCGGTACAGTATCTTGGGCTCCATGAATATGACGGGGTCTTGACAGCGTATCGCGGAGAGGAGGAGGCCTTTGGCCTGGACGGGTGAGCGGGGTATTACGACGCGTAGACCGGGCGTGTGGGTGAAGAGGGCTTCTGGGGACTGTGTGTGGTATCTAGTGACGTGTCAGTCGATTTCAAGAGGGAGCACTGCTGGAGTCATACAGTGCGCCATGTCCGACACTGCCTGATGGCATGCGGATGACTAGTCCTCCACAGTTGACGCCAGTGCTCCCCGACCGGTATCTGTACTTGGCTGCCTCATTGTGTATTTGGTCGAAGGCAGGGAAGACGTAATCTGCAAATTGGACTTCTGCTACTGGCTTCATGCCCTCTGCAGCGGCTCCGATAGCAAATCCCACCAGGCCCTGCTCGCTCAAGGGAGTGTTGAAGACGCGTTCGGTGCCAAAGTCCCCAGCCAGGTTCATGGTGCACCGGAAGACACCACCAAACTGCACATCTTCACCAAACACCATGACGCGTTCATCTGTTTGCAAAGCATATCGTAGTGCCTCGTTGACGGCGGTGTAAAGGTTTATGCGTTTTGTCTGACCCTTTTGTATGTCTGCAGGGAACTCGGGGTTCGCGAGAGAGGATTTGGCGGTGTGGTGGAGAATGGGTGTCGCATCGTACTCTACTGTGCCATTGAGGCGTGCGCCGGGTGCTGCCGAGGAGTATTGTTTGCGTTGAAGGTGGTGTTGACAGCGGGGCCGGAGTGGTGCTTGCGGGCGAAGCAGATAGCGCGATAATGCCCGGATGGATGGTGTTCTAGCAGCCATGTCTATAGAAATGAGAGCAACGAGTTTCCCCAGAACGCAGAAAAGGTACATGCAATAAAGTCATGCTGGGCACAAACATGTGAGCCGACGGTTGTGCGGTTGTATGTCGCGGCTACCAGCGGCTCTCCAGGTTTCAAACGCTGCGGAGTTTAGCGGGCAAGCGCCGAGAGAGGAAGGTGCCGGCACGTGATGGTACTGCGAGTAACGTGACTTGAAGCTTGCCAAGGCTGGAGGCGCTGCATAATGACGATTGACGCCAGAATGGTTCGCACGGCAGGTGGAGACTAGCGCGTCCAAACTTCGATGGTTTGCGACAAATCTCCTAAATCATTGTGCGATTGTGATACAAGGGGCTTGCGGTTGTCTACGATTTAGGTATACTGCAGAGTATGGCAAAGACGGCTACGATCGCAGGAAGACGGCACCGTGTTGGACTTGGCGCCTAGTCTTGAGCCTGGGGAAAGCAATACAGGCTAGCGGGAAGAAGCCTCGCCCCGGGGTCAACTTTGTGTCCGGCCCCTTGTACCGAAGACGCGTACACATGCTGTGCAGTGTGATCAGAGGCAGATGCCATTGCGTGATAGAAGGACAGGCTGCTGTTAATTACGCCGGGTGTATACGAAGGGTTGAGGTCTGACACAACAAGACTGCACGCGCCTTTGTCGCCTTGGGAAGGCTGCATCATACGTCTAGATCCCGGCCGTGCGCAGACCCACCAAACCGCTGCTTCCGCATCATTATTTGCGCGCCCACCACAAACCTTGGAGTCCACCTCTCTCGCCAGTCCATCTCCCCGACTCGGACACTCTTCATCTTCCCGCACTGAGGCGCTTCCCATGGCCATGAGCGCTCCTCGTCCACGCGCAGCAGCCAATGGCTCGATGCGGACTGCTCGCCTCGCCTTCATCGGCCTCTTCCACGCCTTCGCGCCCATGGTGACCGCGTTGCCCATGCCCTTTGGCGACGCGACCTTCAAGACCGCTGGGGAGGAGGTCCCAACGGACAACGATGGAGAGCGCTGGCTTCTCCTGGGTATCGCCGTCGCGCTTGTCTTGGCCGGTGGTGTGTTTGCGGGTCTGACCATTGCGTGAGTACATCGCAGTCCCGCCGTCGTGTCACAACGCGCTAACAGCGACTGTCCAGCTTGATGGGCCAAGACGAAATCTATCTCCAAGTCCTTGCTTCATCCGGCGAGAAGCACGAGCGCAAGAACGCAGCCAAGGTGCTGAAGCTGCTCGAGCGAGGCAAGCACTGGGTTCTGGTAACGCTACTCCTGAGTAACGTCATTACCAACGAAACCCTTCCTATAGTCCTGGACAGGTCCCTCGGCGGAGGATGGCCTGCCGTTGTCAGCTCCACGGTCCTCATTGGTATGCGCACCCTCTCTCTCACCTACTCTGTTTACGTCTAACACGCCTCAGTCATCTTTGGTGAAGTCGTCCCTCAATCCATCTGTGTGCGCTATGGTCTGCCAATCGGGGCCATCATGGCACCCATCGTCCTCGGCCTCATGTACATCATGGGCATCGTCGCCTGGCCGACTGCCAAACTCCTCGATTACCTCCTCGGAGAAGACCACGGTACCGTTTACAAGAAGGGTGGACTGAAGACACTCGTCAGCCTGCACCAGTCGCTCGGACTCGAGCACGAGCGCCTGAACGAAGATGAAGTCACAATCATCACCGCTGTGCTGGACCTCAAGGCCAAGGCTGTCGGCAACATCATGACGCCCATGAAGGACGTCTTTACCATGTCGTCCGATACCATCTTGGACGAGAAGATGATGGACAACATCCTTTCCGCTGGCTATTCCCGTATTCCCATCCACACCCCCGAGAATGAGAACAACTTCGTCGGTATGCTTCTGGTCAAGATGCTCATTACGTACGACCCCGAGGATGCTCTACGCGTACGCGACTTTGCTTTGGCCACCCTACCCGAGACACGCCCGGAAACGAGCTGTCTTGACATTCTCAACTTCTTCCAGGAGGGCAAGTCCCATATGGTGCTAGTCTCTGAATTCCCTGCTGAGGCACGCGGTGCCGTCGGTGTTGTTACTCTGGAGGACGTCATCGAAGAACTGATCGGAGAGTAAGTCGTGCATCCTCGAAAAATACTCTGGCGCCTACATTGTCGCCGGATCTTCCAACCAAGTTTGTACTAATGAGACCAGGGAAATTATCGACGAGTCCGACGTATTCATCGACGTGCACAAAGCAATCCGACGCATGGCCCCCGCCCCTCGCGCCCGCGTTCCTCGAGGCAAAGTCGTGACCGATATTCCCCGCAAACCTTCCGAAGCACAAGCTGTAGACTCCGAAACAGACGCGGAGCAGAATGGCAAGCCGGCGCCACGCAAGACCTCTCTACCTGAGATGCCTGAAGGCCACCCCAAGCCCTCTTTCCTCCTTCGTCGCCGTAGCAGCGGTAGCAAGGGAGCCGGTTCACCTCTTCGCAGCGACGATCCGACCGTTATGCAGCACCTGAAGCATCTCGGCCCTTCGAATGTTGCCACTAGGCCCAAGCAGACTCGCATCAACACTGTCAAGATCAAGCCTGGCCAGACAGCTTTGACCCCTGACATTCCCAAGACGATACCGGAAGACTCCCAGGCTCCAACCGAGGCAATTCCGACTGAGGGTGTAATAACCCAGGAGTCCCATGCGCCTGAGGGTGGTATTGGTGAGGGCTTGCTAGCATCGGCAGGTCGCGAAGCTAGCGACGGCGTACACAGCGTAGCGGTGGGATATGGTACCATGGCTCCAAGCGGCGACCGCATGTCGTGGAGATCTGGTCGATCGGGTATGAGGGAACACGACGACGAACCTACGTCTCCAAAGGGTGGTGCGAACGAAGACGACGAAAACACCCATCTCTTGGTCGACAACCGCAATGAGAACGGCGAGGCGAACAGATCACGGGCACGCTCCGTCAGCACCATTGCCTCCCTGCGCTCGATGCGCTCGCGCTCGCGCAGTCCCTTGAAAAAGCGACACACTGCTCGAAGCGGTAGCATCTCTGAGAATGTTGTCGACGTCAATGGCATCAAGAAAATCGTCTTGGAGACCACAAGCTCCAGCGACTCGGAAGAGAAAGCGAACGGCAGCCAAGTCGATGGTCAAGACGGCGAAAAGCATTCTGAAGCCGAGTCTTCGCATGCCGGAGGCAAAGGCGCAAGCAAAAAGAAGAGGAAGAAGCGAGGTAAGAAGAAGAAGGGTGGCGCTGGAGACAGCCACGAGTCACAACCTCTGCTCGGAGACAGGTAACCTTATTGCCCGTTTTGAGCATGTTGTTAATCCCGGTTTCTACAGAGGTCATGAGCGAAATCGGTGCGAATGCGAGTGCGAAGTTTCTCAGTCGTTTCGATTCTGGCAAAATTAATGGGCATGCATCGGCGTCTTCATCACCTTCTTCTCCTTCGATGTTCAACGGGAAAATGGATGAGAACAATGGGCATTGTTAGGACTGTTATCTTTTCAAGGAAGTGTATTATAAAAAGGTGTGTCGTTTCTTGGACGATGGGTGTCGTCTGTGAGCTTGAAATATATATCTTGTAAGCTCATGTACCCTGTCCTTTCTTTGATTACGCGACATGACATATCAAAGTTGTCTTGGCATCCTCAACAATGATCGTAACGTTACGTCCCAACGCGAGATCTGCCTCTTACCACCAGTCTAGTCCGACCAGGGATCATAATTCCTATCCCCACAATTCCCCGCTACATCCGACCACGTCAACACGTCTTCATCATCCTCAAGGCACCCACACCACCCCGGTCTCGAAGCCGACGGACGGAACCCCCTCGAACTAATAACCCCTTTCTTGACACTAGTCTTCTTGCTTTTGCCGCCGTAGTACTCCTTCCTCTTCCTCTCCCCCCACATTCTCAACTTATTCGGCTGGTCAATACACCACAACACAACTTCCCGAGCTGCAAACGCATCTTCAACAGAATCATAGCCCACTTTCTCAAACCCGTGAAACCCACATTGAAACTAAATGTTCTCATTTCCTTGATGGTGTCCTAGTGTAAGCTACAGGCTTGTTTAGTTCTACCCCTTGTATGAGGCGCATCGGCAATCATACCCCGTCTTGTCTATAGGGTGTCTGAAGCTAAACAAAGACATCTCCACGATATCTTGCACATGCATCAATCTGGACAAAAAGGGTTTCTTCCCGTCAAAGTCGTTAACTCCAAGACCCAACCATCATGATTCGGTAGATACCCCCCTTCCCTGTCACGCGCGTGTCTCCTCCTACCAAACCACTCTTTCTGCTGTCGATCCGCCCACATCGATACTTCAACAGGGTTGGTGATCCACCGCTCAACAAGTCTCCGTATGGCGAACGCATGCGCGATGGAATTACTTCCCGCGTTGTCGTCGTCTTGAATCTGCAGATTGAGCAGTTGATGGCACAGGGCTTTGACGCTCCAATTCCACTTCACTCTTGGTCCCAGCTTCTCTGCGGCTAGAATCGATGTATCGATGATGCGCGTGTGTTGCATCCGAAGGGCGGTTAGGGAGGGGAGTAAACGGTGGCCTACTAGGATGGTGTTGGCGTCGATGTATTTCCATAGTTCTGTACGCGCTTCTGCCCAGCTTCGTAGTGTGCTTTCTGCGTCAATGGGTGTGGTTGATGTTTTCGCTTCTTGCGCGATCTGACTATGAGACATGTACCAGTCTGCGACCGGTTGGAATGGCTGGATCACAGCGTCGATGAGGATCTCTCTAGTGAAGTAATCGATGGCTGATATGCGCGTTATCATCGTTGAGCAGTTCAGCAAGATGGCACCTCGCTTTGGCGAGTGGGAAATGTGTGGTGGGGTTGGAAGAGATGTATTCATGAGTGTTGTGATGTCCTTTATGACTTTGTTGCGGTTGGAGTCGAATGGGTATTTGTTAGCAATGAGGGTGGCTCGAGTATGGCAGAGCGAATCAAGTGCGGTAATTGGTGGAGACTGTTGGCTCTTTGGAATTTGCGCCAGCTTCTGCTTTGGTAACGCTGGAGGTACCTGTGTGTTTGACGGTATACATGTCTGTTTTCTTGGTGTGTTTGCGTGCTTGTATGCCAGTGATGTCTTGGTTGGTTCTTTAACGGTCGGCTTTGGAGGCGCGCTTATATGGAGTGCAGATACAAAGTGCGAAGAAAGTGATCCTTCCCAAGCTCTCGGAAGTTTCTTCACGACAACAGGGGCTGCAAATTCGCCATTCTCCTTGTGGATCGTGCCTGGGACATTGACGGCTTTCTGAGTGCTCGTAGTGGAGGATATCGCATGCTTGGCACGACAATGATTTGATAAGGCGGGATTACTAGCGAAGGTTCGTTTGCAAAGAGTGCAACTGAATGCTGATGAAGCTGGGTTTTTGCCCTTGTTTGGTGACATTGTAGTAAGGTCTCGCTGTTATCAGCAAAGGCGAATGTAAGCTCTGTAATTTCCTGTTCAGAGGCAACGACCATGTTATCGAGTGTAAGTCATGCTGAGCAGGCTGAACTGCTGGTAATACCTGTTCACGCTCCCATGCTGTGTAACGATGGACGGGGACGCACCCGCTTACCCCGCCCACTCAGTGCTCGCCACGTCGATTCAAGGCTTATACGCGCAACCTGCATTGCAGATATGAGAGATTCGCGATTTGAAGGATACGACCTGTATCCTGCACATGTAAAAGCTTCGCCAGCTCGCAGAGAGGCGTGTAAGTTCTGGTGAAGGGGAAGGTGGCTCCGCCCCCTCGGCGCTTTCGCGGTTCTAGAATGCTTGGTCATCGGACGTGTGATGCTGCCGGTACTGCGGGTGCTCGAGGCGTCTTTGAGCATGATAGCAAGGTTTGGTCAGGGTGCATCCTTCGGAGTCGGAAGGCGCGTTGGACTCAGGCACGCTATTCCAGAAGAGGAAAGGCCTCAGAGCGGGATACGGGTTACGCCCGTCCTTGGAGCAACATCTCAGTGCAGTCTTCTCAGTCCGAACTCCGAACAACATGGTCAACGTCGTTGTAGAGCCACGGCAGCTCCAATAACAACCATTGCGCATAGCCGAGTCAGCATAGTAGGCGACGATCGATAAGAGAACGTTGCACGTCGCCGCTCGCGTCGTCATCTCCAAGCCCCGCGTAAGGCGAGCAACTGCGCAAGGCGCCCAGCGGCATGGCCATTCAAGCACCAGCCTTGCCATCGCGAGATACCGCCGGCAATACTCCAACAGTTGCTTGGTAATTGGGGAAGAGTTTCGTCTATCAACAGGGATCTCGTGGGTGTCCTGAAGCTTGCGTCGATGCTTATCAAGCTCTATATAGCGTCGCGGCTTCCTGACGAGTATCGTGCCCAATTACGGACTCATAGAACGTAAAGATGTTTTCCGCCACGACTTTGGCACTCTCCACGTTAGCAGCTTACCTCATCTCCATAACAACTTACAGGGTCCTCTTCCACCCTTTACGCGACATTCCTGGTCCCTTCTTTGCACGCTTCAGTAAACTATGGCTCGCATGGCACGTCCGAAAAGGACAATCGCACGTCCACTTCCCCAAACTACACGCGCGATACGGGCCTATTGTGCGCATAGCACCCGACCAAGTCCTAGTGTGTGACGAAGACGCCATCAAAACCGTTTATGGAGCAGCGACGTCGTTCACGAAAGGGGATTGGTACCGCATAGCTGGCGCACCTGACAAAGGCCGGAAACCTGCTGAGGACGTTCTCGATCTGCTGACGGAAACGAACATGGAGAAGTATCGCAGGCAAAGAAGAGCCATCGGACCTGCCTATAGCATTGCGGGGTTGGAAAAGCATGAGGGGTTACTTGATGCCTACATCAATCAGTTCGTTGGCAGGCTGAAAGAGTTCGGAGGGAAAGAGGTAGATCTTGCGGAATGGACCCATATATTCGCCTTGGAGTCTATGAGCCAGTTCACTCTTGGCAAGAGACCAGGATACACGGAGAAAGGCAGTGACGAAGGGAACGGAGATGCCAGCGATGCGTTATGGCAATGCTTCACTGTGATTGGCATCTTCCCAGGCTTCGTAAAGCTGATGCATGCGATACCGAAAGTCGGCATGTTGCTCGTTCTGCCCGCGTCCCTACTGCTAGGTGTTCGACTACCGAAGGTTTGGCCCGTCTTCAGCTTCTCTGCTCCGACCATCATGCAGAGATTGAAAGCACTGGACAGTACGAGGGGCGTCAAGTTTCCTGGGGACCGACCAGGTCTCTTTCACGATCAAGGGACAGATGTTAAGCCATTGGAGCAACAGGGAGACGGCATTGAAGAAACGGATATGATGGCTACCTTGATGCGTCTGCATCATGACAAAGAGGCGCGTTTCCCTCCTCCGTGGGTTCTCTCGATAGCTCTTACCAACTTCGGCGCCGGACACGATACGCTCATGTTCACTCTGTCTTCGGTCATTTACCATACGTATCAATCGCCAGCCATTCTCACCCGTTTACGCAAAGATATGGAAAGTCAGGGCGTTACAAAGGATACCAAATACTCGGAGATGATCCAGAAGGTACCGCTGTTCCTTGCCGTTGTGAAAGAAAGCATGAGGATCTGGCCTACGCTCGGATGGTACATCCCTCGCCTCGTGCCCGCTTCCGGGGCTACACTATGCGATACCTACCTTTCACCCGGGACTACGGTCGGGACTAACCTCTGGGCTTCACACTTTGACCCGGAGGTCTTCGCAGATCCAAATGAGTTTGACCCCGATAGATGGCTTTCTGGTGGTAGTGAGGACAAGATGAAGGAGATTGGCAGAATGGACAGTATGTGGATGGGATTCGGGGGTGGAGGTAGAAGCTGCCCTGGACAGCATCTCGCGAGGTTCTTCGTTGTCAAGACATTGGCTCGTTTGGTTATGGAATGCGATTTTGAGGTGACAGGAGAGCCGGATATTGGCGGTTGGTTCCAGTGCACGATGAAGGGCGTTGGGATGAGTGTCAAGGAGAGGAAGATGTAATGATAGGAGTATCATTGGCGGCTACGTCAGACTGGCGGACAAGCAGCTGGATCATCCTGAGTTAGGGTCGAGGGCCTAGGAAGGCTACAAAGCAAAGAGTATAGAATAGCAAGATAAACAACAGCACTATGAGCCATGAGGCGATTTAGTTGTCTACTCTCAATTCTTCGCGACAGTCTACTCAGCCAGCTGCCACACCCGATTAAGCACATCTTTTACCACTTCGCGGAGAGAAACCTCTTTCGCATCCCTTTTATATTTAATAGACAGATTTAGTTATTATGTATCTTATATATATTATAAGAGTTATAAGTAGCTTATTATTAATAAGTTATTATAGTACTATAAGATAGAATAAAATAGAACTAGAGTTTAAAATTTTTATATATATATAAGTTAAAAAAAAGTATAAAAGCTTTATTTTTATAACTTTACTTTCTCTTTTATATATAATATATAAAATAGTATACTTTACTTTTTAGTTTATTACTTTTTTTATTTAAAACTTAAATAACTTAATTATAGCTATAATTACTTTTACTATTTTTTTTAATATTATTACTACTACTTTTTTAGCTAAAAATACTACTTTTAAGTAATTAGCTATTTTATAAGCTTTTTAGTATTACTTTTACTAAAGACTAAATATAAAGCTTTTATATAACTTAAAAATATATACTTACTATATAAATACTTAATAAAGTAAGTACTTACTATATCTTATATAAGTCTTACTAACGTTTTAGAACTTATACTAGTAGCTTAAGCCTTTATTTAAAATAAGTAAGTAATAGTATATAAGCTACTAATAAGAATAATACTTTTTATATACTAGTTTACTTTAAAGAAGTTAGCTTTTATATATTAAGTATTTTTTTTTAGTAATATTAAATAATAGATAAGAATAAACTATATACTTACTTTATATAATATATAAGTACTAATATAGATAAATATATAAAGCTTAAAAAATAGTACTAAGAATATAATATTAGATAGATAATAAATAATAGAACATATAAATATTTATATTATAGATAAAGCGTTTAGAGCGTGTGTAACATGTATTATTACAGAGGGAAAGGTAGAGCGTATGTATAATATTGGGGTTTTGTAGTAGGTGCAGATGGTGCCTTGTCCGGAAAGCTTTCCAGGAGGGTACCTGATGTAGTTTCGGCAGTCGATCGTCGTTGTTGTATTCGTAAATTGCGATGGTGGTGACGATGAGGTGGCGCTTCTGCAACCAAAGGTGCGGCCCGAAGCGTCGGAATGAAGAGTTCCGATGTCGGAACCGCCCGGCGAGCGCATCTCACCTCGACACCCTTTGGCTTCAACACTGAGTACCTTGAGGCCCAGATCATCTCTAATTCCACATCATGTGCATCTGTCTCATCCTGCGAGATTTTCCTTTCCCTCCGCCATCTTCATAACCATCCTGATTTGCCCCGCCGATCGCCGATCGCACTCTATCCTGCTTGACTGTGGCGTCAGTCGTCCAGTAACGCAACAGCAAAACAGCCCCCAATTGTTCTCCATGCAGCGGCACGGCGCGGGGAGTATTAGCAGAATGCTTCGCGTTCCAACGACTCGAGCTATGTACACTCTACATGTCTGTCAGCATGGAGTACAATCCAGGTAAGGGTTGCTCAGATAGCGCGATATTACCTAGCAGCTTGCATCCATCCCAAATTGTAACGGGGCTAACGAGACTCTAGCAAGCCGGGGATTAGATGAAATTAGCGAATTCCCTGACATCATTGTCACATCGCACGATGAGCTCAACACGCCGGGAAGACCACGCATCGATCTTGAACCTTTGGTCTACGATGGCCGTCGCCAATATGGAACTAGCCCGGGGAGGGGGGATGCTGCGAGGAAGGTTCTTGAAGATTGGGAAGAGAGATACAAAGCCAACCCAATCTCTCAGGTCGATTTCTTTCGCCCGGAAGAGCTAGACTCCACCTGCGGCGCCTCTTCAAGAGACGAGGACGACAAACTGGAACTTGACGTTGGCGATGAGCTGCTGACGGACCATACGGTGCCCCAAATCGTTGTTCATCAGCCAGATGAATCCGACGCGTCTGCAGGGCTCAACGAGAAACCATCGTTGAAGAAAGCACTTCCATTAGGGCAGGAGGCACGTTTCGCGCCGGTGAATAATCTCGAGAATACACTGAGGCCCGCTATCCGTCTACGGCGACATAGCTTTAGTAATGTCTCCGTACAAGACCTCACCAGGGAGCCAAATTTGAACGCGTTCGCGAAGCCAAAGATCCACCCAACACCACAGCCATGGAGTCGCATCGACGCGGGCCTGAAAGATGGATGGAAGACGCGTTCACGATGTTCGCCTTGGCCAGAGACCGGGCACCTCGTCGATATTGTGGTAGTCTATTTATACAACTCTGGCTTGTGCGACACATCTACAGATCCTGATCTTGACCTAGACGCTTTCCGACATCAAGCTCAACCTCACGTGGGAAGCCCTAGTAACGCCCCAACGCAGCCGATCCGCCGTGCTAGAACAGATATTGGAAGAATGCATCATCAGGTTTTGCCGACCATTTTCACGAACACCCAAAACCGCGTCCCTTTTGAGAGTGTCAAGCCTCGACCCGTGAGCTGGGTACAGGATGAGAACATGTTGCGAAAACGGGTACCAGGCAGCCGGGTTATCACTGTCGGCTTTGACTTGTCTTCGATGCTCTCTACCGTACCTGATTTCGAGGCTGCAGCGCAGCAACTCCATGAGCGTCTACGTCAACTGCGAGAACATCGTCAAGCACCAATTGTGTTTCTTGGTCACTCATTCGGCTGCTTGATCATACTGCACGCGCTTGCATCACTTTCATCTGGTCATGCTTTGGCCTCGAATGTCTTAGCCCACACCGCGGGGGTGTTTCTCTTCTCTTGTTCACTTTCTAATCCTGAAAAATGTACTCAATCGTTTGCTAAGATCCATAGAGTGAAGGCCAGCGGAAAGGTTCTCAATGAACTCCTCAGCAGTTCTTCCTTGAGGCAGATGCGCGAGAAGGCTAAGACCAGCTTAGTCTCTTCACGACAAGGGCAACAAGACGCGTCTAGAGGTCACCCACGTGGGAATCAGAGCCCATCGAGCATCAAGAACATTGCGATCGGGTTTCCAATAACACAAATTCACGCCCGAGGAGATGATCAAGGGACTAGCCAGGGCTCAATTAGCGACCTCTTAGGCATTTCGACCCGTACCTTGATATTCTCCCAGGATGCTGCAAACGTGCTGAAATTCGCCGCTTCTGACGACGTGGACTTCATGCGATTGATGATGCTAATGAAGGCCAAAGTCCGATTGTTTGGTCTTCTGCGAGCATCTATCGATAACAACCCAAGGGAGGTAGACGCCCTGCTCAAAGAAGGTGTCAGCCCCAATCTACGTGACAGGCTGTAAGTACGCAAGTCTTTCTTAGCTTCTAAAAGTTTCAAGTCGAAGTAGTGCGATCTTGTACCGTGCTACAAGATATGTTCTCTGGGACATATTAGTGTTCCAGGTGCACTTCATGAGGTGAACTTTGAGTAATGACTGATCATATCATATAGGCACCAAACGCCACTTCAGATCGCCGTACGACTCAATCACGAAAAGCTTGTTCACAGCCTTCTCAATGTCGACGGGCTGGATGTCAACGTGCGTGATAGCCAGCTAAATACGCCACTTCATCACGCAGTCCGCAACGGAAACGAGACGATCATCAGAGCCTTGTTGCATCATGAGGCAGACATTGCAGTGGAAAACACACACAAGCGAACGCCAAAAGCATTTGCCGAGAGACATAAATCTCGTAGGCACATAGCGAAAATGTTGCGCAGTCGCGTGGTGAAAGGACCAGATCATCGTCCCAGTGCCCAGAGGATTGGTAACGGTCGATCACCCACTTCGAAAGAGGGCAAATTAGCCTGCAAGAATTATCAAGTTACAGTCACGGAAGTGTATGTATCAAAATCTAGCGACAAGCATTGGAGTATGAACATCTCTGTCGAAGCGCTCTTGTACGGAAGCACCTCTTTGAAAGATATCCTCGGGCAGGTGAGGCCCAAAGAGGTTGCCACGAAAGTACCAGTCTGTACTTGGGTGCATGTTCCAGAAAACAACGTAGGTTCACAGCCCATCTGAAATCCTCCTGCATATCGCTGACATATCACAGATGGTTTGGGTCGAGGTGTGTAGCGTGCCAATCCTGACTACTTGCGCTGACCCAGGTTAGGATCTTTTCTCGAAGCTAGGCCTACATCCTGCAATATGGCAGGAAACGAGGAGATCTGTTACAGGATCTTTGCGCAACGTGCGTTACGTGTGTAGCTGTTCCCACGTTTACTGAATGAAACAGCGAGCCATAACACCTCATATCGGAACGAGTGACCATCATTCGATCTTTGTATGCTTTGCATCATAGCTTTTCGATGAATGGTGTTGACGTGCTTAGATACCTTTCTTGAGCTATGAAGCCAACATGCGACACGAAAGACGGACAGAATATGTTCAAGAGGTCGACCAAGAGCACTTGCTGCAAAACGCCACCGATGCGAACATACCGGGATCAGTGACAATGGAGGCCTTACGCAATATGTCGCACAAACTATCGTCAAAAGAACCCGAGCTTCTACAAGTACCTGTCAGACACAGTCTGCCCTTAAAACCATCCTCCGACGATTGTGACTCCGACTTTTCAGACACCTATAACGCGGACGATCCTGATGATTTGGAAGAAGAAGAAAAGGCATTGGTCACCGCATACCTACATGATCCTCCAGCTCTGCATATCCGACGGTAAGTTGCTACTCATTTTCTTGAGTCTGTCTGCTGATGGTGCAGGACGTTGGACCAGTACTACTACCATATGCTTGACAACACCAAAGAGCGCGACATGGACCAGGTAGTGTCTCGATGGGCAGAAAACACGAAAGCCGAGGCTCGGCACAACATTCTTATGGTGGATCAACTCTGGCTTTGGTCCACTCATCAGAAAGCGTCCCCATTCAAAGCTCAAGACAAGGCGTCTGAGATTCGAACAAGCCGCGAGCAGATGGGCATGAACAATGGAAGCTATCCGGAGGAAGAACCCCAGGATCACTACGTCATATCTTGCTTCCCAAGCAGAACAGGGACGGGCCAGCATGCGCACCGCGTTATGGACGATCTTAGACTACTAGTCCTGGATCCGACGCACCGCAAACGACACCCCATCCGTAGACCGGAAGACCTTACTTCACGCATATTGGAGACCTGCTGCAGTGTTTTTGATCGACTACTAGATGCGGAGCCACTCCGCTTCTTCCAGATGTTCGAAGAGAGTGTTGGAACGATAGTAAGTTTTGAAAGTAATGCTCTGCTCACTATGGCTGACTTTTGAAGGACGACAATGAGAGTCGGCTTTTTCGAGCCTTCCAACGCGGATCTACACATCTTATGCAGCTCAAAGCGACCAACAAGTACTACGAAGAGAAAAAGAATAAACTCCTCGTCGATCTTCTGGATATTCGCGAGGAGGTGAAGCTCCTAGTTGAGATAAAGGATATCCTCGATGAGATCAACATCATTCTTTCGGTACTAGACATACAACGGACGGTCATCAAGCAGCGACGGAAGGCGGAAGGGTTCACATTCCTAGGCTCGTCAGCTGCAGAGGTTCTCATCAAAGCCGACATAGATGACTTCAAGAAGCTTGAAGGTCACAGTCGCACCATACAGGAGAAGGTATGGCGGACGTTGCAAAGGGCGGAACAGGGCTAAATCACAACAGATCAATACTTTGATGGATCTCAAACAAAAGGCTGCAAATGCCTGGGAAGCAAGAGAAGCTCGTGAAACCACAGTTGCAGCAAGTAAACAAGGAAATGTAGGAAAGCCCCATGTTGTCTCGTTCCGCCCAGCTTACGATCTGCAGACGATCTTGGTATTCACGATCGTGACCATAGTGTTTCTTCCTTTGTCCTTCATGTCATCCTTTTTTGCAATCGGCATTGCCGCTTTCCCCAAGGATAATATCACTGGAGAGACCAACTGGCCGCTTGGCATTGTTACTGGCTTGTTATGTAAGTGACCCTTCCCCGTCGGCATTGCTTTTAAGGCCCCTATCGCTAATGCGTTCTCACAGTCGGCATATCTCTCAGCGTTTCCATTCCTCTCATCGTTCTCGCACTGAACATGGAGCACTGCGCAGCGACTTATCGAGAACTACGTGACAACTACTTCGCGCGCATTGGCATGTATCTCATCGCGCTCGCGGTGCCCCTAACACCAGAAAGATGGGCCAACATATTGGTGGAAGAATGGAATGCAAAGCTGCGAAGACGCTATGAGGCGTATACAGAGGATGGGTCACGAGACATCATGTCTAGCTCTACGTTGATGGTTCACAAAGAGCGAGAGGAAACATCGATAAATTAAGTGTAGTAGCGAATCAGATGGAATGAATTCGATGGGGCATGCTTCTATTGTAAGCTTAGCTACAGTGCTGACAGCCAGAGCGATAGCACGTTGCCTTAAAGGATTTACTTTGTATACCATGAAACTAAACAGGCCTGCAGCCTACATAACGATAAGATCTCACGATTTAGTCAACCCAACGTTTGTGTATGCTCTGAGGTGTTGTTGAAGTCTTCGCAACAACACCCTCAGCCAGCTGCCATACCCGGGCGAGCACCTCCTCCGCCACTTGGCTTCCAAGCCAAGCGCGCGCCTTTTCAACAACTAATTCCCAAGTGTCCTCCTCATCCTGCATCTTCTTCTCCAGAAACAAGACTACGATCGCAGTAGCCAGAAGCTGCTCGGAGTTCTGCTCGTTGAGCTGAGCGTTAGATAAGCTAGCGGCGTCGCGGTCGAGCTTCATCTCATCCAACGGAAGCTTATCGATGGCTCCCCATGACCCTTGAAAGGACTGTCGTGCGATAAGGCGCTGGAGGAGGGTGCCGGTCTCTTCCTGTACTTTCTGCCTTTGTGGCGGAGAGAAGGAGGGACCCATGGCCGAGCGACTCGACCGTTTCGACGAACCAAACCGACCCCTTGATTCTAATACTTGCGCGGAAGATGACGTGCGCAGCGCTGACGGTTGGCCAGGATGGGCCATGGGTGCTGCACTGGCTTTCTCGAAACATCCAAAGCCCATGTCTTCGTCTGAGCCGGCGTCATCCATTAGTGTAGTGCCAGCAGGTATCTTTCTAGCTCGGAAGTGCCCGCCTTGTCCGCCTCCGCCGCCTCGCCCGCCTCGCCCGCCGCCAGTACGGCCAAAGGGACCGCCGCCGTAGCCTCCACGGAACGTAGCGAAGGACCCAGACCTCGCCGACGCGGATGCAGGTCCACTGCCAAATCGTGTATCGCCACCATACGAAGTGGTAACCGGTGATCTGGATGCTTGGCCATGCTCCAGGACCTCCCAGTCATCGTCATCCGCTAGATCACTCCGGTTGATTGTCGATTCCAGAGCTTTTTGGCGTTTCTCGGCGATTTCGGTCTCGTTAGACTCTACAGCTACGAAGGAACAGTACTTGCCGCCGACCTGGAACTCGACTCCAAGACGGACAGCCTCATGTCGCTGAAGCAACAGATACTGCGAGCTATATTTCTTCTGGAACAGGACGTCAGTATCGCCAACGGTAGCCTCGGATAGCCATCCATGGCCCTCTTCGAGCTCCTGTGTCGCTTTGCGGGCAGCAAGCTGGTGAATCATCTCGTCGGCCTCTTTGCGTACTTCTACTGGAATTTCTAGCTCCAACGGGCCTTGGGGTGAGGTGCCCTTGAGAACAACACTCTTTGGTTGCAAATGTGATGACTCTGGAGACATGAGAAGATAGACACAGGTACGGTTGAATGGGAAGAGCGCTGGTATCTCGTGGGGTGTCTGCAGAAGCGTTGGGCGCTTTAGCTCCGGTAGACCAGCGAAGATGTCCTTTGACTCGCCGTCCTTTGGATGCTCTTCCACTACGTCCGGGTTATAGAGCGAGATGGGCTTCGCGTCGGCGTCGACGTCTGGGGCTTTCGTTCGCTTTTCGTCGTCATCGTTGTCCAGGTGAAGGTTAATACGAAGATTGTCGGCAATAGACTCGACGCTGTCATCTTCGTATTTGACTTCGAGACGGTAGTCCTGGATATGAGGGGTGAGTGCACCCTTCAGCATGCGAACAATCTTGCTATCAAGCTTTTCGTTGTTTGTAACCATCTGAGCGAAGCCTCTTCCGGCCCTCGCAACGCCTTCAATGAGCGCACTAGACACACCTCCACCTATACCGATGGGGAAGACACGAACTTTGCCATTCTTCGTGTTCTTGGAGACGTAGTCGAACAGCTGATCTTGAGCCCAAATATCGCCATCGGTAAGTAGCATGAGCTCGGTAGGAAGTTCGGTGTTGCGAGCTTCGAAACAGGCCTTGACCGCTGTGAGTGTCTCGGTCCCGCCAAAATTGGCCCCGAACGCTTCTACATGTCGAATGGCCTCCTCCAGTGTATCTTGGCCATACATCTGACTCTGTTCCCAAAGAAAGGAGTGACTGCTACCGAACGAACAGATGTTGAACATGCAGCCGATAGGGATCGATTTCAAGAAGACCTTGAGTGCCGACACCAGCGTGGGGATCTGACCGCCCATGCTACCCGATCGATCCGCAATGAAGATGATCTCGGGCTTTTGCGACTTGAGATTGAACTTCGGTACTAGTGTGGTCATCAATGCTCGCTGATTGGGGAGCGTTGGATGGGTCTCCAGAATCGCCTGAGGTACGCCGACGTCTTTTGCAACCACCTGTAACACGAAGTCCTTGTCTAGGCCTGTGGTACCTAGTGAAAGCGTTGCTGAGCCTTGCGAGAGCAAGGCGTCCTCATCTATAGTACTTGTTGAGAGCGACCCAAGTGTTACTTCGATGGGATGTGATGGCGAAATGACCTTCTTGATAGGAATATTTGCTGCCATCTTGACATCCACGAAGATGGAGATGCCCTTCGAGTCAATCTCGGCCGATGTCTCTTGGAGCTTTCCGGGATAGGATCCGTAACGGGGCGAGATGGATGCAGGTATGGTAAGACGAATTCCATCGACTTCAGCATCGTGCTTCAGCTCTTGGATGTATTTGATGGACACATGCACAGATGCGCCTCCGGGAATGTTGCTGATAGCAGTTGAGAATACATCCGCCGCCTCATCTAGTCGTTCGAGCAGCGCTGCGGCTTCGCCTCTCTCTTTGGCCTTTTCGTAGGTCTTCTTGGCTTCGTTCTTCTCCTTAACTAAGCCGTAGATAGTACGCTCGCCGATTTGGCAGAAGAACTCGACAACGCTGACGCCATCGAACAACGGAAAGGCATATCGGATCTCATCCAATGACTCGTTAGACCGGTTCACGAATGTCTGCGTCAAGGTAGTGCGGGCGGCCGTGGAGATGATCGTCGTGTGGGCGTCAACCTTAATTTGGGGGAGGTACGTTCGCTCCCGCGTTCCGGGATGGGAGATGTAACAACCGCACACGTGGCGCATCGTTGCTGTTCTTGTTCGAGGTTTGATGAGTTGAAAGGTAAAGTTGTTGTGGTCTCTCAAGAAACAGCGCGCACACTCCTGATATACTTGACCGGCCGGCTGCTGCCTGTTACAACCTTGGGTGGGGAAGTTCCTACCGCTGGGGTATGATAGGCCCCCAATGGTCGTGCCAAACTTCGAGCTCATGAGTCACAAACTGCGGGGGTCGTACCATCAAAAGGGTCCGGATCATGGTGTTGAGTGCCCCGTAACACGTTTGAAGCTGTTCCCATTGACGAGCCCTTCTCTTCTGGTAAGTACCTTACAGTTAGGACTTGTTTTATTCGACCATTCGAGATTTTCAAAGCTTGCAGAATGAGTCACATCCCACACTCTGATGGCTACATGCCGCGTAACGTCGTTGAGTTGTTAGTTTGTGCTGCGTTGTAGCCTCTATGGCTACCTAGCACTACACAAAGTCTTTAAGAATATTTTAATACACCTTATTAATTTTGCTAGAGGCTAGTCTATTACTACCTTGCTACTTTTAGCTATACTACTTAACTTATACTAGTTACGTAATTTATCTTTAATAATAATTTACTAATTTTATTTAATACTATATAGCTTACATAAAGCTAATAAGATTTTTTTTTTTAAGTTCTTAAGTATAAAAAGATAGTTAATATTTTATAAAAATAAAAGTACTAATATAAAGATATTATTATATAGTATTATAATTACTATAATTTTAGTATCTTTTTTTATCTTTTAATTTAGCTTTTAAACTTTAGCTATTAGTATTATATAATAACTAAAGTATTTCTTTTATATACTATAAACGTCTTTTTAGTACTAAATTTTATAGTTATAATACTAAAGTTTACTTTTTTTTAAAGTTACTAAGTTAGTAGCTAAAATTATTATTATTTTAAGCTAAGTATTATTAGCTTTTTACTTTATAAGTACTAGCTTAAATATAATTATACTAAAGTTAATTTTTTTTATAGTTATATAAGTTAGTATTATAAAAGTTACTATTATAGTATTAAAGTTATATAAAAAAAAAAGAATATTAGTAGTATATAGCTTTATATACTATTATACTTAAAAACTTTAACTTATTATAACTAAAAAACGTTTTTTTAAAAGTTACTAGCGTTTTTTAGTAACTAATAGTATTTTTTTAAATTATTAGCTCTACTAGTAACTATAGTACTATAGTAATATACTAAATAGTACTTTAGTAAATAATATTAAAGCTATTATAATTATACTATATACTAAAGTACTATCTTAAAGACTTAGCTTAACTTAAGACTAGACTATAGTCTAAGTTAAAGGCGCACTCTATTCTCTTTCTATAGCTACCTAAACTAGGTAGTCAGGCATCCTAGATTCGGGGGGCGGCCCGGCGCGACTATCAAGCAACGCGAGAGATAGCTGAAGCAATGATTCCTGGACAGCGCGCGAAGATGAACGCCTGCAACAGCAATTCGTGATGTCGCGCGTGTGTGTTGACGGAGGAGAAAGACGCCGAAGTGTCGCGTCGCCCGATTTCTCAGACACCAACTGTGTCATGACGTCAGGCATCATCGCACACTTTTGAAACCTCGCGTCTGGCCACGATGATATATACGTCGCTCATTAAGCGCTCAGATGTTGTTCCTACAACAATAATATCTCGCCAGCATAAATACGCAAGATGGAAATCCATGGGTACGACGCGCTTGTGTATTACGCCACACCACCAAACAGCTACATCGGCACCACCATCTTCCTCTCCTACATCGTCGCAGCACTCTACGCGACTATCAAGATCAGCTACTCGCTCTACGCTCAATACACGGCCATATTCAATGCCGTCAGCTCGTCAAAAGATGAGAAACTCAATGCAGCAAAGGCAGCGCGAGCGCGCCACATCAAGATCTACGCGTTCCTCGCTTCAATCAGTTTCGCGACGCTATCCTACAACATGCTCATGTTCCTGATCACGCACTACCTGGAATGGAGCGGAGATAAGAGCCGGAGCTTTAGTAATGTCAATGCCGATCAGGTGAAGAGATGGATGCTGGAGTCGACTTTATTCCAAGATTTCGCGCAGGATCTGGTCAAAGATGCGCCGAACGCGGTGTGGACGCAGGCAGCGATTCTGGCGACGTGGTTTTGGAATATTTATATGGCGCAAAAGGGCAAGTGATGTTTAATACACACGCGTGAGAGGGAACTAACGTATATATAGCGAGAACGCGCAGATACGACACGTCAATAGTGCGCACGTATATCCTGCTAGGCCAAATCCTACCCATTTCGTTTACAGTTTCGCTGTTCCTGATCCAACTCCATCTTTCATCTCCGGATGTTGCAGTCGCGAAAGGAGCACCTCAACCCGATGTAACGCCCAAACGTCGCAAGCCTATAGCAACGCTCCAAATCCCGAACATTCTTCTCAACGCCGCTCTACTCGCACTTCCAGCTCTGCGATCCAACTCAGTCTTTAGCGGTCTACTTCTTGTAACTCGCGCCGTTTTGTTACTTCCTCACTTTTCGGCCATGAGCTTGAGGGACGCAGATGTTGTCAAATGTATCACCGTGTCTGGTGGATTTGCGGTTGCAAATGCGGCGATGATGAGGAAGGACCTCACGCCTGGCAGCGTCATGGGATCTTTAGTAAACGGCGGATACGCAGTCAAAGCTCTGGGATGGGATGCAGTATTGGGTCTGATAGTGTATGTTGTGCTGGGGTGGGGCGGAGGGGTCTAAATACACGACCGGCTGCCTTCTAGCTATCGATCAAGTGCCGCATTCATGCTAAGAAATACCTGATATAGGCAAAGCCCTACACAGGTTTGTAGACTACATCAAGATTTAAAACATGCAAAGTAGGTGAGCTGAAGCTGATGTAGGCTCTACGGTGTTCAATTCCTTCTTACTTTGACGCGGAAAGGTGAATCATAGGTTCCTTGCTGCATTATGCGGTGCCATGTTCAACTTTGCTTGGCGCATCGTTACCCCTTCCCTTCCTGTACCAACCCACTCTCGCACCTTCTGATGCCAAATGCTGAACCAATGGTGCTGTAGCTTCCTCCAGAAGCGGGAGAACGTCATCGTATATGAAGTGGACGATGAATCCCACCTTCATTCCCTTGAGGTGTTTGAGATGACGAAGGTACCACAAGGGTTCAAGCTGCTTGGCGTATTGAGCTTGAGTCTTGGTGCCACAGTCGAACTTAAGCTCGATTTGGATGCGGCGTATATGCTCCTTCGGGTCGCAACTAGTGATGAGGACGTCGTAGTTCAGTGTAGACTTGAGCTCGTGCATCACTGCCACCCGAAGCAGTTTGGTGCGGTATAAAGTCTCTGCTAACTCGATTCGGTAGGTCTCGTGGACGTGTTCGTATACTGCGAAGTGTGGAATCTCAACGCCTTTGATGGTACATCTCCTGATACCGAGGTGCGTGGGGTTGCTGGTGAACTCTGCAAGATTCCAGTCCGTGGGGTTGTTAACCATGAGCACCTGATGTTGACGGTTGATACACCGGCTCTCGAGGATGTACGTGTAGATGATATCGCGGAGTTCCCGAGGTAACTGGTGCACCATCTTCGAGGTGAGCTCTGAGCACCAGCCTGGGCTGGCGTCGTCACATACGAGTCTCAAGAACCTGTTGTATGTTAGTTCCCTTCCTTATGGATGTGATGACTTGTGTCTTACGACTGGTAGTGGACTCCTTTCGGGTACATTCGAAGTTCCGTCTCGTTGCGTGGCTCGGTGGCTGCCATCTTTGCTTCTAGAGCTTTGGTACTAGTTCACATCGTTAGATTCAAATTCATGATGATACCAGCCGCTTCAATTTCTCCACAATGGAGAAAATGTATGCATGACTGGGATCATCATCGGCATTGCGCCGTGGAATCGATAGGCTGAGCATACTTTCTATGCTTGTCGAGTAGAGTTGTTCTGCTTGTTTAGTAGGCCCGATCTCCTTCGTCACGGCAATTGTCAGTAGTCAGAGGTTCTGGTGTGCGGCAAAGGTGGACGAAAGCTCAACGACCGTTTGTTTGACAAAAGTCGTCAAGGGGGGTCAGTGCGTACCGAGCTGGCAGCTGTTTGCATCGTCTAGGCAACTAAGGCTTGAGGCACGTGTCCCTTCCGCGACAACTCTCCAGAGCGAATCGGAGGAGGAGAGTGGATGCCTTTTGTTGAGCACCATATAGAGCGGTCAATCTAATTGCTCAGACCGCCTTGTCGAGGCCGAGTACTGCGCGACATACGTGTAACGACTCGAGATAACTTTGCTCTTGGATGACAGACATTGCACGTACAGTGCGCTCCAATTCGTGACAATACTTCCTACGATGCGAGCAGTGACTTGAAGGCCTCGCTAATAGCCTTGAACTTGTCAGGTTGCGACAGCGCCCAGTCACGCACCTTCTCAACACCCTCCAGATCCGCCCGCATATGGTCACTTGAAGTAGTCCCATTCAACACAACGACTCCTTGATCCATGACAAGAGCGTAAAGCGCGACGGGCAGTCCGACACCAACAGCTTGAGCCAACGCAGCGACCGGCTCGGATCTGATAAGAGAAGGGTTTCCGGTCAGAGTCCAGAAGGACTGGTACATAATGTTGTGTTCGCGGCAGAAGGCGCGTAACGATCCATCGTAGCGTGTCTGAGGGTAGAAACGGTTTTGGACAACGGCCGGCTTTATCGTGGCGTTCTCGAAGATGGCTTGGAGAATGGGAAGAGTAACGTTGGAGATGCCGAGGGAGCGGATCTTGTCGGGCACATAAGACTCTAGTAGTTTCCAGGCTTGAAGTGTTTGGTCAATGGTAGGCAGTGGAGAGTGCAGAAGTAGACAGTCAACGTATGAGACATTATCTGAGTCGTTGTATCGCAGATTCTTCAGCGAGGACGCGACGGATGTGTGTATTTGGGTGTCCAACGGCGCCTCAGGATCGTAGGGCATGTTGTTCAGATCTTGGCCGGCAGGCGTGGTATACTTTGTTTGTAACTGTGACGCATAAGCATCAACTACAATCAGTCTCCATTGAACCTACATATAGCTGTTTGCGTTCAAGTGTACTCTCAGCAAACGCCTCACGAAGCGCTTCACCGACCAAAGGTTCCTGGTAATGCCGTGGTTGTGCAGCTGTGTCGACGCGACGAAAGCCCTGGGCTAGAGCTTCCTTGACTAGCCTCTTTGTTTGATCTTTCTTCCAAGCAGTACCGTAGATGAACGCATGCTTATCATCGTAAAGACGTGATGCTTCTTGGTTCGTCGAAGCAGATGCCATATTGCGCGTGGTCGACGATGGATGTATACGGCAGGGCTTCACGTAAGACGCGGAGAAAGGAGCAGTAAATTTACAAACAGGTGATGGAGTCAGACGTCTGGAAATCATATCGCAAGCCCAACAAAAGATAGATGTGGTTAGCTCATACATCGGAAGTGACGATGCAAGGTACCACGACGCTGACTAAGCCAGCAACGGTGACGCTTGCTATCTGACATGAGCCCCACCAATGTTCCGATCGGACCTCCATCATCCCGACCAGAAAGTGCTCGAAGTACCACGCTCAACACCATTTCCTCCAAAGACTCATTTCTCTACCTTTGTACTCCAATTCCATTCTTCAAGAGAAATACAAACACAACAAACACCATGGTCCGACCAGACAAACCCCGCGACCCCATCGCCGGTCCCGAAACACCACAACCACCCTTCCCAATAAAGCTCCGAGGCCCCGTAGTAAAAGGCTTTGGACGCGGAAGCAAAGAAGTACAGATCCAATAGCTCCCACAATTGTCACGCCAAACTAACGTCACCAGCTAGGCATCCCCACCGCCAACATCCCGCTCTCCGGCCTAAGCATAGGCGGCCACGACGCCCTCGAATCCGGCATCTACTACGGCTGGTGCACGCTCGACACCTCCACAATCGCCCACTCCACCTCCTCTACCAGCGTCCCCAGCGCCACATCCGACACCTCCATCCCCTCTCAATCCTCCTCCCACGCCGTCCTCGACCTCGAATACTCCTCAGAAACGCCTACGCCCTCCACAATCTACCCCACCGTTCTCTCCATCGGCTACAACCCGTACTACAAGAACAGCCAGCGCAGCATCGAAATCCACATCTTGCACAGCTTCGAGAAGGACTTTTATGGCGCGCAGCTTAGTCTCATGATACTGGGGTTTATACGGCCGGAGTATGATTATGTGAGTAAGGAGGCGTTGGTGGAGGATATTAGGGAGGATATCAGGGTTGCGCAGAGGAGTTTGGGGAGGGAGGGGTATGAGGTTTGGAAGAGGGATGAGTGGTTGAAAGGTGGGGATGATGTTAAGGTGAACTGGAATCAGGAGGGGCAGAAGGATGGGGTGGGGATTGCGCAGATGATAAACTAGGGGTGAGGATGGAGAGGTGAGACACATTATTGGAGATGAGAGAAGACGTCACGATGTGGATAGCGATGGATGGCATGAATGAAACGGAGCATTATTATCATACTGTTGTTCTAGCCGTGGAAAGCATTGGTATCGCGCCTTTGGTGGCAGCTCGTCTACTCCGTTTACGCCTTAATGTACGCCCTCGAACACCTGAAACAAATAATAAGAAGTAGCATACCAAGCACTACCTGTCCATGATGCGCACGTCTCGTGAGACGACTCTGGTATCCATGCATATGCGCCAATGTTCCTAGCAAACCCAAACCGTAAAAGCACTTTTTTACTGCCGCCATGACAAGGTCGTAGGTCAGCTCGAAGATCATCATCCGTATTCAGGCAATCCGTCGTTGGGAAATACAACAAGAGCTACTTAGACCAGGTCGTAGGAACGTAGCTCAGTGTTCTTGTTCAAACTTGTCCCGCTCACTGCAGGCCTTTGTCGAGAACAGGCATGACCTAAACCATCATTAGCACTTGGCCCACACATAGAACCAGGATCAAACTTACACTCATACATACAAGCACAGGCATATCAAACATATCGCGCTTGATATGCCACCAGATCATACAATCAACCATACCATTCTTCGCGCCGAGCCGTTGCATGGCACTCTCGCCCTCCACCTTGACAAGCGGATCGACCTTAACATCAGCACCAGCATTTGCATTCTTCATTTCCTGGATGCGATCCATGTCTGCCTTGGTCTGGTATCTGAGCATGTTGACGCGTTGAGAAGCGTAGCCGTGAGGGTCCTGGTAGCACAGTTCGGAGAAGTGCTGGAGGAACTCAAGGGCGGACTTAGGGTCCATGAGCTCGATGATGTTGACGCTTGGTGTGGTCTCGGAGTCTTGCGCGGTGAGGTTGGGTGTGGTGTTTTGGGTTGAGCCCGTGTCGCTTTCGCTTGTGTCGCGGTTTGTGCCCGTGTTGACGTTGAGATTCGGCTCGTGGCCGAGGAGAACCTGGTCTTTCCAGCCCGTGAGGATTGTGAACTCCTTGTTGATACCGACAATCTCGCCTGAGCGACGACAGATCAAGAATGGTGTACCGACTTCCGCAAAGTGATCTTGCAGTGTCATAACCTGACGCTGGAGACCCATTTCTTGATGGATCAAGTCGTCTCTGTTCAACTCTTCCCGCACTTGTAGCAATACAGGTCGGTAGTTTTGAAGATACTGTTGTGCCTTAGCGACCCAAGGCCTCGAGTAGTTCTTGTCGATCAGCTGATAAAGCCTGTGATAGCCCTTGACGTAATCGTATGGCTTGGTAACCCCTTGGTATATGCTCTTGGTGTCCCGTTGTCGCTTGCGCACGCCATTAGAGTGTATCGGCTGGAGTGCTGTGGTCGAAGGTCTGTTTTCGTGTTGTGGTCGACTAACAGCCGGCGAACGCTGCGCATGCGTTCGATTCGTGTTGGCGAAGAACGCTGCAGTCGCCAGTGGGTTGTCACCCTCGAAAGTAGACGCGTCGGTAGAGGCTGGACTTGCTGTATGGCTAGCAGGCCCTTGGCCGATGACGAATGCGTGAGGACCACTGAGGCTGTCGTTTCGAAGACTGTGGTGATCGTGGCCAGCGGTGTTTGGCGTATGAACATGCATGCTCCCTTGCCGCGAATGTGCGTCTTGCCACTCGCCTGCTGGGAGTCCGTTCGCATTGTATGCCATAGCGGTTGCTGCGTTGTTCTGGTCCGCGTAAGTTGAGGGCATCTGTGCATTGTACATGTTCACAGCTCCGTTCATGTTCATCATCGCGTTATCGTGAGGTGTGTCCACTGCGCCTGATGACATATGACCAAGCATACCAAATTCGAGCGCTCCGTAATGGTTTCCGAAATTGAGGCTCGAGATGTCGAAATTGAACAGTGCGGGGTCACTCGGGTCGAATAAAGGTCCAAACTGCTGCAATTGGCCCTGCTGATTTTGAGACATAGGGTTTGGTGCGTTTTGTACTGGGCCATGGTGTGTCTGGTTGAAGGGAGGTGATATTGGCGACTGCTGATTGCTGAAAGCGTGACCGTCTTGAGCCACAGGCATTTGTCCTGGTATCGAATTGGGCGGGTAGAATGCCGCGGCCTGGGCTTGGTTGTACATGTTGCTCTGCGGAGAGACCGAGACTGGTTGTGTGTCGTGACTCGGTATCGGTGTTGGGCGGTTGCCGTTCATATACGGGTAGTGACCGCCCACACCAGGCATGAGCGCTCCATCTGGCGCATCGTGGAGATACTTGGCCTTTTTGCGCACGCCGTCCATGCAATGATCTTGGAGACCGCGCTTGATACAGCGATTGCATGGTCTCTCGTCACCTAGACGCTGTCAGTCCCGCCATTGAATGCAATGACTCACAATCAATACTCACCACACGTCAGATGGGCTCGCTGGCAGGCAAAGCACGCTCTCCGCGCCTTCTTCCTCCGCGGTCTTAGAGGGTCTTTTGCATTGGGCTTTCCATTGGTAGGCTTCTGGCTGGAATCACCATCGCCAGACTGGCGGTCTGTAGTCTGTTCAGCAGCCATGTCGTCGTCCAAGTCGCTCCTGTACTCGGGCGAAGGAGAGGCATCTTGGGCGTCTGGGGTGGTCATGATATCCCCTCTACTGGCGCAGGCACTCGGCCAAGCACGGACGGTCGCTGCGGTGGACGGAGGCGCTGGGGAGAGAGCCTAGTGCTGCGTGTAGCCGTCAATGGTGATCTTGGGGTGTTCCCAGCAAAACGGTTCAGCCAATGTGTCTGGGGTGCACGGCTTGAGGCGTTCCAGCTGCGTGTTTTAGAGTGCGATCACGCGTGCGCTGGCTGCTTGAACGGGCGCTGCCGTGGCACTCTGACAGGTCCAATGACGAGCTATGCAGGGGACCCAGAGAGTGAAGGGCTCTCAATCCGGCGGACAGGTATGGGACAGTGCTATTGTGGTACGGGGCCGGGGTCCATGTAATCGAGGGAGCATTCCAGGAGCACACAGAACCATGTTTGATAGCGAGATGCTACCGAGACGCGCTGCCCATGCTGCTGGGAGTCGAGTGTGGTTCTACGAGCGGTGCCGGGGTTCGTTCAGTGAGCCCGCGGGAGGTGAGAGCAGCAGCGTGGCAGTCACGGGTGCGGCGTCGCGTCGAGCGCGGAAGGCGCGACACGATAGGGCAGTGGGGTGATACAGCGCGTGCAGTCACGGTCAGCGCTGGGGCAGGTGCGATGGGCGATAGCGATGTCGATGGCGATGGGCGATGGGAGATGATCGTCTGGGGAGGCCGGCTACGAGTCGCGACGGAGCGCGCGGTCGAGGCGATGGAGGCGCTGCTGGGCTTGACGAGCGGCCAGGGCACTTGCAGCGCTGTGTGCAGTTGAGAGTGGGCTCGCGGCGTCGGGCGCTGGTCGTGTGCGGTATATTGGAGCTCGCTGCAAGATGCGCGCAGATGCGATTCCCCGCAATTGGCTGTTCGAGGTTTGCTGGAAGGTGCAGCCCACGCAGCTGCCTCGGTCCCTGTCGACCGGTAAGCCGCTTGCTTGGCCGGCCGCTAGCCCGCAGTCACGCACTTCTGCTTCACTATTTGACGTCGCTAGCCCTTCAGCCACTCTGGGGCTGCCGTCTGCCACATGATCGTCGTCAATACATAGGTGGATCGCGGTCAGTCCATCTTTGCAGATTGGGCACCCTGCTGCAGAAGGCCCTGCCCAGTCACTCGCAATTCCCACCGCGACACCTCATGCCACACAGCGCATCCCCAAAAAGCAAGCAGCCGGCATGCCCAAAGTGCCTCAAACTCGGCTATGAGGCATGCATGCAGTGTGGGATGCGAGGCCTTGGCGTTGGTTCTCACTGGCGTATCCCCAGCCTATGGGCGCGCTCGTATCACCAACTA